TTGTAGTTGGAGCAGCTGTGGTTGTGGTTGGAGCAGCTGTTGTTGTGCTAGGAGCAGCTGTGGTTGTGATTGGAGCAGGAGTGGTTATGCTTGGAGCAGATGTGGTTGTTGTGGGAGCAGCTGTGGTTGTGCTTGGTGCAACTGTGGTTGTGCTTGGAGCAGCTGTGGTTGTTGTGGGAGCAGCTGTGGTTGTGGTTGTAGCAGCTGTGGTTGTGCTTGGAGCAGCTGTAGTTGTTGTGGGAGCAGGTGTAGTTGTGGTTGGAGCAGATGTGGATGTGACTGAAGCAGCAGTGGTTGTGGTGGCTGCAGCTGTGGTTGAAACTGGAACAGCTGTGGTTCTTGTTGGAGCAGCTGTGGTTGTAGTGGGAGCGGCTGTGGTTGTGCTTTGAACTGCAGTAGTTGTTGTAGGAGCAGCTGTGGTTGTGGTTGGAGCAGCAGTGGTTTTTGTGGCAGCAGCTGTGGTTGTGGTTGGAGCAGCTGTGGTTGTGCTTGGAGCAGCTGTGGTTGTAGTTGGAGCAGCTGTGGTTGTGGTTGGAGCAGCTGTGGTTGTTGTTGGAGCAGCTGTGGTTGTGGTTGGAGCAGCTGTGGTTGTGCTTGGAGCAGCTGTGGTTGTAGTTGGAGCAGCTGTGGTTGTGGTTGGAGCAGCTGTTGTTGTGCTAGGAGCAGCTCTGGTTGTGATTGGAGCAGGAGTGGTTATGCTTGGAGCAGCTGTGGTTGTGCTTGGATCAGCTGTGGTTGTTGTTGGAGCAGCTGTGGTTGTTGTGGGAGCAGCTGTAGTTGTGGTTAGAGCAGCTGTGTTTGTTGTGGGAGCAGCTGTTGTTGTTGTTGTTGTAGCAGCCGTGGTTGTTGTTGGAGCAGCTGTGGTTGTGGTTTGAACAGCTGTGGTTGTTGTGGGAGCAGCTGTGGTTGTGGTTGGAGCAGCTGTGGTTGTTGTTGGGGCAACTGTGGTTGTTGTGGGAGCAGATGTAGTTGTGGTTGGAGCAGCTGTGGTTGTGGTTTGAACAGCTGTGGTTGTAGTGGGAGCAGCTGTTGTTGTTGTTGGAGCAGCCATGGTTGTTGTTGGAGCAGCTGTGGTTGTTGTTGGAGCATCTGTGGTTGTTGTGGGAGCAGCTGTAGTTGTGGTTGGAGCAGCTGTGTTTGTAGTGGGAGCAGCTGTTGTTGTTGTTGTTGTAGCAGCCGTGGTTGTTGTTGGAGCAGCTGTGGTTGTGGTTTGAACAGCTGTGGTTGTTGTGGGAGCAGCTGTGGTTGTGGTTGGAGCAGCTGTGGTTGTTGTTGGGGCAACTGTGGTTGTTGTGGGAGCAGATGTAGTTGTGGTTGGATCAGTTGTGGTTGTGGTTTGAACAGCTGTGGTTGTAGTGGGAGCAGCTGTGGTTGTTGTTGGAGCAGCCATGGTTGTTGTGGGAGCAGCTGTGGTTGTCATTGAAACTGCTGTTGATGTTTCATAAAAAACAATTTAAATTATAAAAGATTTTTTACATTTTCTTCTAAGCTTTGTCAAAGTTAACATACTGTATCATATTCTTCAGCTACTCAAGTTTCATTTAGTACTTTAAACAGTACTAATCATAAACAATAAAGAAAAAACTTTAAAACAACTGGTTATGTCAAAATTGGTAACTTTTCAGTCTCCTTTGCCAAAACAAAATATTGTTGGTACAGTACATTTACTGGGTTTCTTCGATTTTAAAGTTTTTCAATAATTATTTTTATTTCTTACTTATGTCATCTACGGAAGCTGAGACGATGTTAAATTCTGTGATGTTTGACTGCGCCTCCATCAAAACATTAATAATTTCAAGTTCAGTTGGAACAGATGAGGATTCAAATTCAAGGCTCACATTGTTGATGACTGACCCTCTCCTGAAATAGAAATAAAGAATAATGATGTACAATTTTTTGGTGATCTAATGTATTGATTCATTTATTCATAAAAAAAACAAAAAAAACTTACCCGAACGTAAATCGTCCAAAAGATATGAGTGAAGCAAATCGGTTTTTGAAACGTTTTTCAAGCTGCAATAGACAAACAAAAATCATGGACTTTACTCTTAATGCTAAATCTAAAACTTTACATTATTCCAAATATTTTGTTAAATTAAAAAACTTCTAGTGGAAGTTCTTCATTATGGAGTCTTTAAAATATCAACATTCTTTGTACAACTATTTCACACTTGAGAAAACAGAAATTTCTCATCAAATTCTTTGGTAAAAGCTCCTCTTGAATGTTAAATGATTTCTAAAGAAGTCTTAATCTGGGTTCTGGTTGGATATTAGTTTTGTCAAGAAAATATTGTGTCAAGGTTCTTACTAGTTTCCTGTGAGACTGCTTTCTAAGTTTGTAGGCTCAATTAAGTGAGGGAAACGTGCACTTCAGCCGCTTTTCATTATTCCTGCAAAGATGGGGACCCTAGTGTTTTTTCTTCTTTTACTTCTTCCGAATAAAAATCCAGCAGGGAAATTGTTCACATTTTTCTGTAAACCTTTCTAATATTTATTTGCCTTAATTTAAATTTTAATGGTATACATGTCAAACTCTTAACATTTGTCAATCAATATGTACAACAAAAAAGGGTCCCAATAATTCTTGTCATTTTTGATTATTTTTAGAGAGCCTTATAGTTTTTATTCCTGTTTAAATTAAATAAAAAAAAACTTTGAGAGTAATACCAGTAATGTCTTTAGGTGAATATAGCATGGATTCCATCTGCAGTGTTGAGTTTATTCAACAGGTTGATTAAATTAGGCCTCGTACAAATAGCTACAAAGATGACCACAAAAAACTGCTAAAAAGCAAAAACCTGATCTTGTACTTGGATCAAGGAGCAACATGAAACAAAGACAATGAAGTATGGGCTAAATTGCATGAGGAAACAAAGAAGTTCAAAGTTTTTGAATCTGTAACAAAATTTTGAACACAAAAATGTTCTAGTTAATTCTCTAACTTCTCAACAATTGTTTGCAGTAAAAGTTTAGCTGATGTTTACTCTCAGTCACTTTTATAAATTCAGGTAAAAAAAAATACAATCAATGAAAATAAGTTGAATAATATATCTTTGCCACAAAATCTATAAAGGTTACTTATTGGTAACTCAATATTAGATAAAAATTGGAGCTTAACCTTAAATACAAAATAAAAAAATAAATAACAATTGGTCTAAATTTTGGATAATCTAATACTTGCAAAAAATAATAGATGTGACTTACAACTTTAAAGATTAATTTTTTTAATGCTGCATTTTACGTATTTGTTATTTAAAAAATAAAATAGGACAAAAAATCAGACCAAAATATAACTTTAAAAAACGTACCTTTCCATTCAAAAAATAAACTCGGTCTGCGTATTCCTGTGAAGTTACATCACTGTACTGAATAATGAAAAGGTCATCAGACTTGAAGGACAAAATCTTTGTTGTAGGTGAAACTGTAGTTGTGGTTGGAGCAGCTGTGGTTGTTGTGGGAGGAGCTGTGGTTGTGGTTTGAGCAGATGTGGTTGTTGTGGCGGCAGCTGTGGTTGTTGTTGGAGCAGCTGTAGTTGTAGTTGGGGCTGCTGTGGTTGTGGATGGAGCAGCTGTGGTTGTTGTTGTTGAAGCAGCTGTGGTTGTTGTTGGAGCTGCTCTGGTTGTCATAGGGGCAGCTGTGGTAGTTGTGGAAGCAACTATACTTGTTGTTGGAGCTTCTGAGGTTGTTGTTGGAGCAGCTGTGGTTGAGGTTGGAGATGCTGTGGTTGTCGAAGGGGCAGCTGAGGTTGTCGTAGGAGCAAGTGTGGTTGATGTGTAAGCAAATGTAGTTGTAACTGGAGCTTCAGTGGTTGTTGTCGGAGCATCTGTGGTTGTTGTTGGAGCAGCTGTGGTTGTTGTGGGAACAGCTGTGGTGGTTGTGGGAGCAGCTGTGGTTGTTGTTGGAGCTGCTGTCGTTGTCATAGGGGTAGTTGTGGAAGCAACTGTACTTGTTGTTGGAGCTTCTGTGGTTGTTGTTGGAGCAACTGTTAATGTTGTTGGAGCAGCTGTGGTTGTGGTTTCAGATGCTGTTGTTGTCGTGGGAGCTGCTGTGGCTGTCGTAGGGGCAGCTGAGGTTGTTGTGTAAGCAACGGTAGTTGTTACTGGATCTTCAGTGGTTGTTTTTGGAGCACCTGTGGTTGTGGTTGGAGCAGCTGTGGTTGTTGTGGGAACAGCTGTGGTTGTTGTGGGAGCAGCTGTGGTTGTTGTAGGAGCAGCTGTTGTTGTTGTGAGAGCAGCTATGGTTGCTGTTTGAGCAGATGTGGTTGTTGTGGCAGCAGATGTGGTTGTTGTTGGAGCAGCTGTGGTTCTAGTTGGGGCTGCTGTGGTTGTGGTTGGAGCAGCTGTGGTTGTTGTGGGAGCTGCTGTGGTTGTTGTGGGAGTAACTGTGGTTGTTATAGGAGCAACTGTGGTTGTTATTGGAGATGCTGTGGTTGTCGTAGGGGCAGCTGAGGTTGTCGTAGGAGCAACTGTGATTGTTGTGTAAGCAACTGTAGTTGAAATTGGAGCTTCGGTGGTTGTTGTTGGAGCACCTGTGGTTGTTGTTGGATCAGCTGTGGTTGTTGTGGGAGCAGCTCTGGTTGTTGTTGGAGCTGCTGTGGTTGTCAGAGGGGCAGCTGTGGTAGTTGTAGAAGCAACTGTACTTCTTGTTGGAGATTCTGTTATTGTTGTTGGAGCAACCGTGGTTGTTGTTGGAGCAGTTGTGGTTGTGGTGAGAGCAGCAGTGGTGGTTGTGGGAGCAGCTGTGGTTGTTGTGGGAGCAACTGTGGTTGTGGTTGGAGCTGCTGTGTTTGTTGTTGAAGCAGCAGTGGTTGTGATTGGAGCAGTTGTGGTTGTTGAAATAGCAGATGTAGTTGTAGTGGGAGCAGCTGTGGTTGTAGATGGAAGAGCTGTGGTTGTTGTGCGATCACCTGTGGTTGTTGTAGAGGCAGCTGTAGTTGTAGTTGGAGTAGGTGTTGTTGTTGTTGGAGCACGTGTGGTTGTTATTGCAGACACTGTGGTTGTTGTGGGAGCAGCTGTGGTTGTTGTGGGAGCAGCTGTGGTTTTTGTGGGAGCAGATGTGGTTGTAGTTGGATCATCTGTGGTTGTTGTGGCAGGAACAGCTGTGGTTGTGGTTGGAGCA